GAAAGAAGTATTTCCATACAACTACTACAGCAGTACTTTGTTAGCAAATGACAACAGAACTGGTGTCATTTCTGAAGCATGTAAGTTTATCCGGGATGCAGATACATTCATGAAAAACATAGATTCCATCAAAGGTTGCAGAATAGATGAGAACCACTTCGACTTAGAAAAGTATAGCACATTTTATTGCAAACAAGATGTAAGAATTTTAAGAGAAGGTTTTGTTAAGTTCCGCAATGACATATTGAAAGAATTTGATTTAAACGTTTATGACTACGTTAGTATTTGTTCAATTGCTAACAAATTATTTGAGAACAGAGTATACTTCCCGAATGGAAATTTATATGACCTCTCAAATAAACCAAGAGAGTTTATTTCGAGATGCATTCAAGGTGGAAGATGTATGTTGTCAGATAACATTAAACAAAAGAGTAAAGAGAAACTCATTGCTGATTTCGACGCTGTTTCATTATATCCTTCAGCAATTGCAAGATTGTATACTTTAGAAGGAATTCCAAAGGTTATGAAGGATGAGATGTTAAGCACAGAGTATCTCATGAGACATTTATTCGATGACGACCAAAAGGAACCCATTGGTGAAAAGTTTATATCTGGCTTCTTTGTTCTCATTAAGATAACAGAGATTGGAATACATAGACACTTTCCTTTAATAGTTTGTGACCCTGAACTAAATCCAGAACTTAACGTTCCCAGAAGTTCAAACACTTGCTGTTTAATGTATGTTGACCATATAACATTACAAGACCTCATAAAATATCAAGGTGTCAAATGTGAAGTGTTGCAAGGATACTATTACGATGGAAACAGAGATATTAGAATAAGAGATGAAGTAAAGAAGTTGTTTGAGTTAAGGTTAAAGTATAAGAAAGAAGGAAATCCTTTACAAGAAAATATAAAGCTCATTCTGAACAGTATTTATGGCAAAACTATTCTATCTCCTATTGAGTCAAAAATAACCATAGTAGATGACAAAGATGCTATAAGATATGCCATCAGAAACTACAACCATATAGTGAAGTTCGAAGGTTTGGATGGTTCAGATAAAACTATTTTCAAGCTAACGAAAAGCATTTGCAGACACTTTAACTTCTGTCCACTTGGTGTTAACATTCTGTCAATGTCGAAGAGAATAATGTGTGAAGTATTCTGTACTGCTGAAGATATGGGACTTCAAATATTTTACCAGGACTGTGATAGCATGCATATTTTCAATGAAGACATACCACGTTTAGCTCAAGAATTTAAGAAGAGATACGGTAGAGAACTTATTGGTAAAACATTAGGTCAATTTTATAGCGACTTTGCAGAAATAACACCTGGAAAACAAAGTTTAGCATACAAGTCAATATTTTGTGGAAAGAAGACTTACATAGACTTACTCACGAATGATTTGAATGAAGTTGCATTCCATGCACGTTGCAAAGGTGTCAAACAAGACGTCCTTGCTTTAACAGCTAATGAAATGTTTCCTGAAGCTATACAATGCTATTACAATGAAGATAAGAACATTCACATACCTGTTGGAACATATGACAAAGACTCTGAGTTCAGTTTAATGAAACTTTACAAAGCACTTTATGACGGTCAAGAGATTGGATTTGACTTATGTAAGTCATGTCAACCTTGCTTTGCTGAAAAGTTTAACTTTTCTATTCAGACTAAGACTTCATTCATAAGAAAGCTTAAGTTCTGAGGTCATGAATGAGAAAAATAATAAGGTCATTTATTTTTGTCAGCAGTGAGGTCATATAAGATTATATTGACGTTTGAATGCACTGTATGAAATTTTTGTAAGTTTTCCTTTTACAGTCCATGCATTTACATACAGAGTTCCACATTTATTGTTTTCCATTACATGAAGCTCTCTATAGCGAAATCCATTAAAGAAATAGAAGAGGTCTTGTTCTGGGTCATAGTATAAATCATCGAACTCATGTTTTCCATATGTTTTAACTTCAATGGAGTTTTCACCAATTTCATCTACATAGTTATAATTTATACCATTTGCTTTACATCTGTTTTTATTGTTTTGTTGTGATGTTACATATCTTAAATTTTCTATTCTATTGTCTGTTCGTATATGATTTATATGGTCTACTTGAGGTAAGTTGTCTGGGTTAAGTATGAATTGTGCTGCTATAAGTTTGTGCTTGAAGTATTTTTGACCGTTTAAACATAACCTATAATATCCATCGCTCATCCATTCACTCACAATTTTTCCTGTAGATTTTTTCCTAATATTGTGTGGATATTCTGTGTTAATTTCATAGTCATTGTCATGTTCGAGTGTTTGCCAATATCCTTCACCTTCCATGCCTTTCACTCAAATAAAATTTTCAGAAAAAAATAAAACTAGCGTAGATTTTACAATACTGCGATGGTAGAGTTTAAGAGTTGTGCTTCAATGTAGAGACAGTCCTTATGGTCTGGAGGTAAGAACATTGGGCAGTTATGGTCATGAGTGGAGAACATGTCTATCCAAAACTCACGATTGAAGCCAGTTAATTTATAGTATTTAGGGTTAGGAAGTGGTGAAGTTCTTGTATGACCAATGAACTCATTTTCAACTCCCTTACTTAAGTTTGAATATAATATAACTTGTTTTCTATCCCAAATGCCAGGTGTTACAATCTTTGAAAATTCATTTTTCCTCGGAAGCATTGCATCATAATTGAAAACATTCTTGAAATCATCACTTGGTTCAGAGATTTGAAATCTTATACGTAATGGATTTTCTTTCTTTTTAGCTACTTCATTGAATGGTGAATATATAACAAACTGACAGTCATGAGTTCCATCTTCATTTTCATTAAATTCATAATGAAAGTCTATAAGTTGTGGCTGACTACCTTCTTCTTTCAGTTGTGCAAGAAACTCACGTAAAGGCTGTAAAGTTTGTACTTCAATGTTGAACTTTTTCTCGAACACCTCATTAAATGAAATCATACATTGCAACAATGTTGTATCGTCTTTAAAGTATTTGTATATGTGAATGTTTTGGGCGCTTAAAGACTGTTCGTCATTTTCTATCTCGACTTGAAGTATAAAGTCAACCTTTCTGAAAGCACGTGTTATATACATAGATGTTATGCCAATGTACTTCTCTTCATTTATGTTCACAATCCAGTCTGTTGGAAACTTAAACGTTACTCTGTTCCCCTTTATTTTGACGTCAGGGTTTTCACTACTGAACGCAACAGATAAAGGTATTTGTCTATACATTATAGTTCGGATAAAAATAAACCATTTACTCTTTCTTTGCTTCAGCTTCTTTAGCTTTTGCTTCAGCTTCTTCTCTAGCTTTCTTCGCCAGCAAACGTGGGTTCTTTTGTCTTCCAGCAGCTAATGCAGCAAGTTGTTTTTCACTAAGTTTTCTCTTTGGTTCTCTGGCTTTTGTTCTTGTTTTTGTTCCTTCAGTTCGGAAAAATTTGCTCACGAATTTCTTTCTTCAATGCTTCAACATCTATGACCCCTTGGGTCTTGTCCGTATGCTTGTCTGAGTCATTTGACTGCAGATAAAAAACAAAATTAAAACTTTAACCGATGTAAAATGAGCTTGTCAAAATCAGAACGAGAGTCTATTATATTAAATGACGCAGAGGAATACAACATCCTTTCTATTATGTAAGTCAGAGTAAAGATGGTAAAATATATGTAAGAAAAAGAAAGGTTCCATTAGCGAATGCAGAGAGCGACAACATTAAGGTGCATGGCACCGAGGGTGAAGCCCATATAAAACCTTCTGTTCAAACTGAGACCAAAAAAGAACAGAAGAAAAGAAGCCAGATGTACTTTCAATAACGAACCAAGAGCTTATTGCAAAGTTCGTGAATTTCATTGAAAAACAAACCGAGTCAAAGAACCCTGACCCACCAGTGAAAGAAGTTGAGACAAAAGAGAATGTACAGTTCATTGAAAATGTCACAAAACAACTTCCACCACGAATACCAAGAAGAAGAGTGAGAATAATGAAGTAAATAGATATTTTTATCTGAAGTAAATACATGCAGAACGAACAGCTAAACGAATTTACTCCAGCAGAGCATATTCATCAGATTCGCTCATATTTCGATATCATAGACAATGCAGTTCAAATTGGTGACACTAATAGAAAATATTCTGACGCAAAGATTCCATCACAACCTGGAACTGCTAAAGATAACACATGGGTAACATTCATCTCTCACCTCCTGGTGAAAATATGTTGGACCTTTACAATACATTCATTACGTATAAAATGGAAGGTCAATTTATTGTAGATAAAGAAATTGGTTCAGGTTCAATAAAACAAACCCACCAGGATTTTGGATTGGTTTCGATGACGCTTTCTATGCAGTTGCTGGATATCAAATCCTTGCAAATGGTCGTATCGTATATTCTCAAGACAACGCAAAGAAGAAGCATATATAACTTCAAACTCACAAACTACCGAACAAATAAAGAAAGTAGATGTTTTCTCAAAGACTCGACATGAAGATGTATGGAGTCATTCGGGAACATGCAGAACAGGACAAATTGTTAGTGGTCCAATTACAGCAGGAAAATCATTTGATTTTAAGCTTCGTTTAAGAATTCCTGTTAGAAGATTCCTTCCATTAGAAGCTATTCGATTTATTCCAGCTTTTGCAGGAAACATTCAGCTTAAAGTAAAGTTCAGTAGCGACGCCTTACAATGCACATCTATATCTGTAAATGATATCATTGCTTTCAATCCAACTCTTAAAGTTGCATTTGCTTCAGATTCAAATCCACCGACAAATAAATTTGTTCCATGGAATGAACCATTCACTATGATAACGAAGGCAGTAGAAGCTAGTGGAACAGTTACTATTACAACTGTAACCCAGCAACTATTTCGAACAAAGATGGATTTTAATGAATGTTTCATTCATCCAAAGTCATTCTCTTTAGACCCTAACATTTATACAGAACTTGTAGAACATTATACAAACGAGGCTTTATGTTTTCCTGTTAAAGTTATGGATTGGATTCCTATGGACGGTTCATTCTCAAAGAATACAGATAGTTCAAGTGCAACATTTACAGCAGCTTATACGCCTATTAATGTTAAAAGTATTTGGGCACTATTTAGAAAGAAAGACAACTATTATGTTAATTTTGAGAACCCTAAGTTTAAATATCTTCAGCTTTCCATGGGAGCTTATGGAAATATGCCTGCAGAACCTGAAAAATCATATGGACCTGTATTTTATGAAATGGTTGCGAACGCCTGCAATACAAACAATGATATGATAGGATTTAATGAAGATGTTATGAGGTCATTGGTGGATGATGGTAGTGTGGAACATAAATGGGATAGTTATGACAACACACATTTCTTATGTGGTTTTCCAACAGAAGTGGATTTTGGTTCCAGCAAGGTCAAACATCTACTGCTCCAATAACATACAAATTGTCTGTTAAAGGACCTATTGAACTAGCAACTGAAAATGTACCAAAGCCACTTATTGGATTTATGAGGGATTGTTGCTTTGCCATTCAAGTGCGTGCTAATGGCATCCCCATAATAAGATTAGATGACTATAACTTAGCTACGGACGACAGTGAGGAATAAAGGATGAACGTTTATTTTTAAAGCTTATAAATGAGTTCTTCATCAAGCTCTCGTGAACCTTCACCATCTATGAAACAAACTTTACCAAACGATTATGGAGCACCTATTGAATATTTCTTACGAGCTGCACAATGGCAAAGAGCAGTCTCACCAAGGTTAGGTGTTCCACCAGCTCCTGTCAAAAATAGCATTTGGTCAAGTCCTTATATAAGATATGGTCTCCCACTAGGTTTGCTAGCTACAGCAGGAGCAGTTATGATGTTGAAAAGAAATAAAGCAAATGTTGTAAATAATACTGAAGTAGCTGAAGTTAAACAAACTCCAACACCTTCGCCAAAACCAACGTCAAAACCAACGCCTTCACAAGCAAAACCTTCAATGACTCCTGAACCTATGGAAGTACAAACTCCTATTCAAAAGTCAACTCCTAAACCGACTCCAACATTTAAACCAGAACCTACTCCTCAAATAAATCGTAAAACTCCTGCGTTTCCTTACTGAAAAAAATAACGTTATTTTTATTTAATATTAAAATTTTTATTCGATTGAAATGACAAATAAAGTCACTGAAGCAATGAAACAAAAGTTTTTGGTAGAATACATTAAATCAGGAACTATTCCAGAAGGTTTTTACATTCATACTATGAAGGATGGTAGAGTTCAGTTTAGAAAGATAAAGCAACCATTAGATAAAGAAGGAATTTTGAGAAAGATTAAACTTCATGAGGACAACATTGCTGAACTTAAGAAGAAGTTAGAAGAGTTGGAGAAAGGAAGAGAGTTATAAAGCAATGAATTCAACAGGGTGAAAAAAGAGGTGAGATCTCACCACTTCACCTAAATTTATTTTTGTGCTATGTTTTCATACGTGTGAGGGTGGTGATATCATTTATTTTTAAGTTTATTTTTAAGTTTATTTTTAAGTTTATTTTTATATAAATGACAGAACAAAAATATAACATTTCTACTCAGCAGGAATGAGACCCTTACTGACTATGTATTCGTTTAATGCTTGATGAAAACAATGGTACATATTATCATATGGGTATACACAACGTCTGTTTCCATCGTCGTCGTATATGTAGAGCTCAAATCCAGTCCAACCTTCTTTTGTACAATATGTAGCTTTATTTAAGTATGCATTTATGTAGATAAGGCAATTTTCTTCATCGCTCCAGAAATAATTTTTGTTCTTTGTTGAAATAGTTTTCGTTCCTCTGCGACCATAAGGAATGTATGCAATGAATTTTGCGTCATATGGGATTGTAATATATTCAGGGTTTCTTTCATCGTCAATGGGTCTGTCTTTGTTAAAATGCATGTTTCTCAGTTTTACTTGAGTTTTGAATAGTTCACGGAAACGTTCTGGGAAAGAGTCATAGTAAATGTAGTCGGACATGTCTTTGTAATGAAATAAAAAATTTAAAAAAAATAAAAATAAGGTTATTTTTATTTAGTGAGGACGGTAGTCAATTCGTTAGTGAAGTCATTTATGTGTCAGATGGTTTTGTAAATATTTAAGGTTAAGTTGGTGTTATGGTTGTGTTGTAAAATATACGTTACCAGTTTCGTAAAGTGTCAAAACCGCTAAGTGGTGTACGGAGGCGCGCAATGCCACAGTACACGACTTAGGGATACTAACTATTTATTTTGAATGTAGAACCGAGCAATTTTCAAATTTTGTGTTTTTTTTGGATTTTCTCGATACCAGATAAGTTGTGTTGGCTAAATAATATATGGATACAATGTGTCTTATAGATGAATATATGCACAAAGTTTAAGAGGCCATTTTCTTTCAGAAACCGAGATTTGTGAATTTTTTCAAATTTTGTGCTTTTTTTGATATTGAAATTTCATTTCATTTTTTTGATGCATATCGATGCACCATGCGAACTTAAAGAAAGGCTATCTTATATAGATGCTATGAAAGCTGTCATTGATAACGAATGCCATGCAGGTTGTCCATATCAATTAAAAAAAATCCAAATTTAGGGGGAACAAAATTAAAATTCAGGTGCAGTGCAGATAAATGTGAAGCATGTATCTCATTTCTAAAGGATGATGAAGAATATATCCTAACAGAATATAATGGAACACATAATCACAATCAAATCAAAGATGAGACAAAGAAATACCACACATTATCACAATGCTATCGTCGGGTACTTATTAATTTTATAAAACAGGGGGGTGATCCGAAAATGGCTCAAATTGAATGCGACAAAAAACTTGATCTGGATGATCCACTTAACAGGCCATCTTTTTTGAATGCATCTTCAGATCAAATGAAAACAATTCAGGAAAAAGGAAATAAAAAGATCAAAGGTATTCAAAGTACGATGATAATCAATTCAAGTCAACTCAATTATTTAAGGGTATCAAAGAACAAGAGTCACCAAAAGATTTAATTTATTTCGATGTCGATAATTACAACAAACCAAAGAAATTAATCTTTTATTATGCTTCTTTCAAATTTCTGGACATAATCAAAATTGTGAAAGAGCATTTTATTGATGCAACCCATTCATTACTTGAATTTAAAATGTTGTTTTACATGATATCAGCCAAATTTCCAAATACATGCATTCCAATTTTTCAATTTGTCGTTTATCCAAACACTTCAGAAAATATTGCATTCTGTCTCAAGGCATTTTTTAACTGGGCAAAAGTAAAACCAAAATATTTTATGTCAGATTGTGCACAAGAAATCGAAAATGCGATTATCAACTCTTTTCCAGAAGTTATTCTTCATTGGTGTGCAGTTCATGTAATGAGGGCGTTCAGAAAAAATTTGAAAGATTATGCATTTGAGAGTTCAGACAAATTGATATTAGATACAAAATGAACTATCTTGCATACGGCAGAAATGGCAAGAAAGAATGGATTGAACCAACTTTCAAAAAAATTCTGGAAATAGCCGAAAAATTCCCAGAATTTTCAAAATACATACAAAATCAATGGATATCAAACCAAGAAAGATGGACAGCCGCTGAAAGAGATGAAAATTTAGCTCTCACAAATAACATTTCAGAATCGATTAACAAAAAAATTAAATATTACTACTTTGGCGGAACAATTTTCATGAGATTTGATCGATTTGTGATGAAATTAATCGATTTTATCGTTCCTTCATTTTATTACAGAATTTCTCAAGATATAAGGCTCAGAGACAAAATTTCAAATCCGTTGCCATCTGAAAAAAGCCAAAAAAGTCTACAGTCAGACTGGATACAGAAAAATGTATAATGCTCACTGATAAAATTAAATCGTTAATAGTTAACTCATCAGCAAACTTAAATACGCTTCAATTGGGTTTAGATGACCTACTTGATAAAGTTGTCAAGGCAGCAAAGGTTCAAAAACGAATGACCCAGTATTTTTCGAAATTAAGTATCCCAATGGAAATCAAGCTTAGTACTCTCACGCAAATTACAGAATTTGGATGCAATACCCCTCAATTCATTGTTGAGAATGCCAAGTCTTTTTAAGATAAAATTATTACAGATTTCCACCTTCAAATTTATACAACATTATAAAAATTTATGAATAAAACTTGATATAAAATAACATTTTTTTTTTACTAAGAAAAAAAAGGTTTTTGATAATAAATTTTTTTATTTCGAAAAAGTAGCAATAATCGTAAAAGGGTATTGATAGTCTTGCTAAAGTAACTAATTTTAGCTGTCAAATACTTTTGTATTTTGAAGTAAATTAGTATAAATTTGTTTTTACTTTTATTTCGAAAAAGTAGCAATAATCGTAAAAGGGTATTGATAGTCTTGCTAAAGTAACTAATTTTAGCTGTCAAATACTTTTGTATTTTGAAGTAAATTAGTATAAATTTGTTTTTACTTTTATTTCGAAAAAGTAGCAATAATCGTAAAAGGGTATTGATAGTCTTGCTAAAGTAACTAATTTTAGCTGTCAAATACTTTTGTATTTTGAAGTAAATTAGTATAAATTTGTTTTTACTTTTATTTCGAAAAAGTAGCAATAATCGTAAAAGGGTATTGATAGTCTTGCTAAAGTAACTAATTTTAGCTGTCAAATACTTTTGTATTTTGAAGTAAATTAGTATAAATTTGTTTTTCTTTTATTTCGAAAAGTAGCAATAATCGTAAAAGGGTATTGATAGTCTTGCTAAAGTAACTAATTTTAGCTGTCAAATACTTTTGTATTTTGAAGTAAATTAGTATAAATTTGATATTATTTTAACTCCCTTTGAAAACCTCAATTTTCCATACAGAGGGAACGGGAATAGCCTCCAATATTCCCTGAGAATGGTTGCGCATTCTCAGTTCCCTCTATATTTCGAACGAAGCTCTCATCGGTCTTTTTTTTAATACTAAACGTTTTTTCCCCTGTCACTTTTAGCTAAAATTTGGGTTTGCCTGTAATGCCTGGAATAAGTTTTTACTCTTTTGATTAATGGAAAACAAAATAGCACTTTTTTTAGAACAAATAAACTCTTATTCAAATTTTTGATAGTGAGACTTTACAAAAGAAAATGGGTTTAATAAAAAAATACATATATTGTTATTTATGTTTTTATATTAATTTAAACTGGGATTAAACTTTGAATATGATTAATTTGGTTGATTATGACAATTAGCCAAATTCCATCAGTTTTCCTATTGAATTTAATTAATCTATGAGAGTCAATCTTACATGGGTTTATATTATAGATTAATTAAATATCTATAACTTATTATTTAACTTATCTTTAAGCTATCAATCATATTTATTTAATCTATAAGATACCTTAGAGCGCTAGCTTAATGAACAAATCTTCTATGTCAAAAAGTTAATATTATTATTCTATAATAAGTTATTGTAAATCATCATATAGTATCTAACATGATTGTTGCATATATGAAAAATATCAATCACTTCAAATTGTTTTGAAGAGTACAAAACAAGTTTCATTAAAATTGCACATGCACCCCTATGACATGACTTTCAATTCAGATATTTAAGGGTAATTTTTAATGATGCTTCACATCAGTTGTCAAAAATTTGAATTATAGTCAGATGGGCGTAAGCGAAGCATTAAAAAATTCTGAATTGATGAGAATTATAAAATATTTGATTCAGGTTTATTTAAAAAGGAGAAAATTCAATTCATTTAACGGTAAAATCCTTTTCACAAGTTTGATAATGTCAGAAAAAGAGTGTGTCAAGTGGGCGTAAATATATTAGAAATCGGTAATAAAGAACAAATCACATAAGAGAATATTTAAATAGTATATTGAACCCCTGCATAAATTACTCTGACAATAATCGATATCGAAACCAACTTCTCCTAAAAAATCGAAACGTGAAAAACCAAAATAGCAGCGAGTGTCGCTTGCTTTCGTCATTTCGAATCTTATAACAGATGCACGAAATTTTGGAACTTCAAACTCAAAACTAACACCACGAGTAGAAAGAATTGTGTTGTTAGTTTCAGATGTCAGCTTCGTCAAACTAGAAAAATTATCGCCATAATAAATGTTCCATGAAATGGGATAAGCCCAACAACAACCAGTTTTATCAATAAAACTTTGCATTACATATTTATGAGCTACAAATGGAAAAGGTAATGAAAAATCAAGGTTAAAAGATTGGGATACCGCATGTCTAACGCAATACCAAGAAAGAGGATTTTCTGAGAATAATCCAACCATGTTTGAACAGTTGCAGCAAAGAAAATTCTCATCTATGAATATTTCATATTTATTTGGATAGAAAACGTAATTTTTTAATGTCTGGAATAACAACTTATTCCGATCATTGATCTAAAAATAACATTTTTTCACTTAGACATTCACATTTTGCCAACATTTCGATTTTCATCATACAATATAGCATTAAAATGGGGCATTATCATTTCGTCTGGAAAAGTGACAAAATCATCATTTTTTTCTGGCATCTGAATTATTGAACTATAACTCTATTTCTATTAATTTAAGTGCAATCTACGCATACGCAACTTTATTTAATAGCTCCTTTTGCATGTTAACATTCTAGTTCCAACTTCAAACTGTTTCATTTTATGTAAATTTCTAGTCAATTTTTTTTAGCGAAGTCAAAATTATCAACTCAAACTATTCAATTTATTTTCATCAAAATATCATAATAGATACGATGCAATTCAAGCAGGTATCATTGCATTGCGATCTCATAAATTTATCTCTTTAGAATGACCCTAAAAATAAAAAATTATCATTTTCTTCTGACGAAAATAATAATTTTGTCACTTTTTCCAGACGAAAATAATAATCCTTTAATATCAATTATAGATCTTAAAGCAGTCATATATAATCCACCCTTAATATAAAGTTTTAGTATGTTTGATTAAAGGGATAAAGTGAAGTTCATTCTTAATATAAAATATTTTGTTGACAAGGAAAAAAAGAACATTAATAAGAATTTAATAAATAATAATAAATAAATAAAAAGATTAATTATAAATCTTAAGACAGTCATATGTCATGTGGTAAGAAATAGGTTTGTTATCATAAACTGCATCTGGATCTCTGAGTGCAATGAAGTACTGCTGTGGATTCTTTAGTGAAATTGCTAAATCATCAACACGAAGGATTGTTCCGTCTTCAAACAATGCAACTTTGAATTCCCAGTCTTTCTTAACTTGTAAATGTTCAGAAATCTTTGTTTTGATTTCAGAATTTCCGTCTGTTTTGTTGACAATGACACAGAATGGTTCTGATGATGGAATTGTGGTGATTCCATCCAATCCGTAGAAACAAACAAAACATCTGAGAACAATTTCATCTTCATTAGGTGTATGAGAAAGAGAAATAATCTCAAGAACTGAACTCTTTCCAATAGCTGTCATTTCTGTTCTGATCTTTGATTTCTCAGTGTTTATAGAAAATGTGTTGTTCCATTTGCGAAGTAAATAGAATCTATGATCTGGAACAAGTCCTGGCTCTTCTTCCTGGAATTTATTAACAATTGTTCCGATATCTGTACCACTCATGATTTGGATTCTTCTGAAAATTGGATTAAATGGATCTTTCACGATTTCGATGATGAAAAGGAAATGTTTCTGCATCAATCTCTGTTTGGAGAAGAATACGGTGGAATTCTGTGGGAAATGAGTGACTTCGTAATTGGGAGGAATGATTAACCCGCATGGACGCATGATTCGTGGATCTTTGAACATGAAATCAATTGTAACAACACTTTTCTCTTCATCGTCTTCTTTTTCTTCGTTGTTTTGGGAAATCAAGGAATTGAATGCCTTTGGAACATATTTTCGCAACTTTTGGAATGTAAAAGTGCGAGGAATGGCCAATGGAACGGTATGACCGTAAAAATCAACGAAATTAATCGTAATTGCACTTTTCATCATGGATACTGATGAAAGAATGCATGGACAGAGATCATCGATCTTAATGAAGTCGAGTTCTGGCTGGGATTTGATCGGAGAAGCTGATCTTTCTTCATCAGAGTAAATCTGAACGTAAAAGAACGATTTGGATACGAAATCTTTGACCATTTGTTCAGATTCTGGTAATAACTCTTCTAAATAGCTGTTGTTCTTATAAAATAATCTATATGTATTACAGCCATTCAAAAGAGTAGAAACGCGTGATCGTATATCGGATAGTGTTGATGATTCATGGAAGAATTCGAATCCCATGTACTTGTAATCGTTCGTAATCGCAGAATATAAAATGAAAAATAAAATTCTGTTTGTTTTTGTTTCGTCTTGAAGGATTGGCTCTGACTTGTTGGGAATAACGAAAACAACTTGTTGATTGTAGTCGACCATTGAAATAATTTTATATAATGGTAAATGGTTTGTTCTGTCGGTCATCCAGCATGATATTTCATCTTGATCAATATCAAGGCCACGTTTCTGAAGGTCTTCTTTCAAATATTTGAGATATTCATTTGATTCTTCTGGAACTTCGACTCTGTGAATGAATTTCTCAGATATCTTGCATGAACCTGACTTGCAGACTTCAATTAGATCTTCGTTAGTGTAGTATCCAAAGGATTTATGGTTTTTGAAGTAATATGAACTGATTGACATGTTTTTTTCGTCATGGATTGCCTTCGGAACGGCAGAATCAGGTATTTCGGTCATGATTTCCTTGTAATTTGAAGTTCTAGCGAAGATAAATAACCGGACATAACCTGATTCTGGAGTATTGTAGTTAATGATCGTTTGTTTCTCAATTTCTCGAACGTACTCGTCTGAAAGGTTGAACCATCTGTTGAAAGGACCGCTTTCATTAACAACTATTGCTTGATAATGCGGTGCTTTGTAGACAATGAAGCCAATGAGCTTGTATTTGGCCACTTGGTCTTGATTGGAACAATATGGCTTCAAGTCCAAAATAGTTGAATATGAGAATGTTCTGACAAGAGAATCATCATAAACTAATTGAACGAAAAAGATCATTGGTAGCTTCTCGATTCGCCTGGTATTGTTCTCTTCATTGAAGAAGCCTTGGACAGATTCTGCCAATGTCTTTCCTTTAAGTGTAGTTCGAATTATTGGTTGAAAAATGCACTGTGTATCATTTGAGTAGACTGTATTGATCAGATCGTAGAATTTTCTGTTGCTTTCCGGGTACTTTAGAAGAAGAATTTTGAGACGATCAAAGAAATAATCAAGAAATTCGATTGAATCTGCTCGATAATTCTTGAAATCTTGGCCCCAGCCGAACGATGCAGCTAAGTCGTTGATGTTGTGTGTCTGGAATGGAGAAATTTGCATCAGACCAAACAACCGCTGTAATTGACTTAAAACAACGTTATCTGCAAGGCTGCGATCACCAATTGGAATGTCGAATATGAATTTTCGGAAGATAGGGATGTTAACCAATGGCTGAATAGCGGCATTGAAGTAACACAGGTTATGCTTATTTTCTAAACCCTTAGGAACGGGGTGTCTCGTTTCTGTAATGTAATATTTAAATAAGTATTTGTTCGTAGGATTAAACATAAGCATTTTATCTGTTGAAATCTCTTTGTGTTCGGGGTATTTACAATTATAAAAAAGAGGTAAAAGACGACCGATTTCTAAATACTGGTTGTTTGGAACCTGCATGTAAAGCCTTCCTTCGATGTAGATGTTTTTGGGATTTCCTGCAATAAACTCTATATCGATCACGAATTTTTTCCCATTTTCTCTTGAATACGTCAAGCAGAGGCTGAGATCATGATTGTTGTCTTCCCAGTATGTTGAATTATCGTCTGAAGTTAATTCCCATGTAAAAACTCGATTCATTTATATTCGATACTCTTTTTTTTTTGGAAAATCCCGATGAAATGAATATGCATTTAAAACACGTATTAGTAATGGTTTATATTCATGTATCATATCTCAGACTGCCCTTTTTTTTCCAAACAATCTTGATTCATATTAACCAAACTATCCCTCAATAGGATTATGCACCTTGAAAAAGTATCGCTTTAGAAATCTAGCTTTTCTCTCTGTCTTTCATTTATACAAATATTATTATTCCATTTCAATGGAAAAAAAGGAAAATTATGAAAAATATTTAAAAATATAAGTTTTTAGGAATTATGAATCGATCTTTTCTCAGAAAAATAAGAGGTTGTGTAAACCATATATCAATCACCGACTCTTTGTGATTTTTATCCTTTAAATTCAGTAAGAAGAGTAAAAACAACATTTATGAGTGTTCAATCAAAGGATGCTTCTGTATAAATGACTTTATTCGTTGGATATTTGCTGTTTTGTTTTGTAAACGTGAAATATAATAACGTACAACATGACTTGAATCATGTGTTTTCATGCTATCAGATAAAGTAACAACTTCTGGAAAAATTTTATGATCGTTTGTAAACCAAGCGCAAGGTAGTCCTAGAGCGCAGCTTAATGAGTCATCTTAGGATCTTCAAGAGAACTGAGATCAAGATGGAGAAGTTGAGGAAAAAGTAATTGGACGATACACAATGTTTGGCCAGAGAAAAATCATCACTCAGAACCAATCTGGGAAGGTTGATTCCATAAAGCTTCCCATTTATTATCAAATAACCAATCGAAAAGAATCCCTTATTTCAGTCTGGACTGTACCTTACGCCCCAATTACCCTTCATTTCCAGGGATCATCGTCACTTTTATTTTGGTGGTAATTTTTGTTTAAATCATAACTCGATGAATATCGTGTTCTAGAATGCGAGAATAGCATCACTAGTTAGAGCACATACTGAATATAAATACTTTGTACTTTTTATTTGTTTTTGATATCATGACCTAATGAGATAGTTTAAGGAAATAAAAGTCAAATTAAATAAATTAAATATTATTTTTATACAATGTAGTATCTATTTATCATATTTTTTATGAATTTACTAAAGAAAAATTTTTGCATTTCAAAAACGTTGATTCCAGGCTCGCATCAAAATTGGTATTTACATAGTATGATTCGTGCGAAAATATAATTAAAATCCAAAAAGGAGATTCGACCAAGCCGTTTAACCGCCAAAAATGAAATATTGCCAAATACAAAAAGAATTAAGCCAAACAAATTTTCAATGTATGTACTATTTATTTTTTATACTTTCAATATTTTTTAATTTTTTTTTATTAAATATTAGGTTTTGGAATGATTCAGTTATATATTCATGTAAATCCTATAGGTAGAAAGCATCTTTGAGCTTCAAAATTTTGAAATCTCTTAACAATAGTGCCAATTCAGTAGCATATTTTAAAACTTGGATTAGTTTGGTATTTCTTTAATAATATATGATGACATTGAAGAATAATGAGCTTAATCTCTAAGGGCATCCAGTTTCAAATTTCTGACAAAAAAATTTGAAAATTGTAGTTTTACCATTTTAATTTTACCAATATACGATTTACTTAATAAACTGCTACGAATTGTATTTAAAATGATTTATTGTAAAAAATCTTTAAAAACTAAAAATTGAGGGATTTGGGATTGAAATATCTTTTAAAAATGGCTAATATAATGATTTAAAATTATTTAGAATAAAAAATATTCAATACTAATAATAAATGAATTAAAATCTATATGCTAACTAACAAATTCAAGTAATTTTAGATTTCTATGTAGCAATACTAAACATTGTGATGAATACTGATACTATTTTTTCTTTCTTAGTACAAATACTTGTAAATGACTGAAAAATGCTCAATCATTCCAATTGTTCATTATCAACATATTCTTTATGAATAGACAAGGATATGAACCCAATAAAAAATTCTTATGTTGTGGAAACATTTTAAATTGAATTTAATTTAACTATTTTAACTTAAATTTGAATAAAAATCTCATAAACTTTATTGTTTATGATTGGATTAAGTATCAACTATGAGCTGTCAATCTATTATTAATAAAATATGATGAACAAAGATTTGCAATAAAATTCAATTCAATATTTGCATTATTTAGGAGGTTTAGTTATGCATGAATATAGATAACGTTTCTCCCAAGTAATTTGTGATGTTTTTTTGATATGGAAGGAATAATTGAAGATTATCTTTGAAAATAATTGTCCACTTAATATAAATACAAACTATTGTAACCATATGTGTAAATCTTATTGGTATGTAGATAAATTTAATGGTAAATTTGTTTATCTATTTTGATTAAATTCATTTTTTCATTCGATAATTTTTCAAATCATAGTCATTATTCATGTATATTAGCATGGCCTGTTTTTGTGATTACTACATATAATAGCAACTTTTTGCTGAATGAATAAAAAATATCTGTTAATTACTAACCGAATTACTATTCTAGAACTACAAAAAATATTTTGATGCAAATCTATTCATATTGTGAGAGTTTTGCAATTTTTTCAAAATTTATAGTTTGAGATGATGGATTACCCATGAATTTCGAAAAAAAATCAAAATGAAAGAGTTCTTAATATAGAATGTTTTTGATATAGAAATCATGGCTAAATTTGGAATAATTTTTTTAGTGTGCTACCCTCCAAAATCCAGTTTTGTGCGGTGAAACCTGTTATTGAGGAAAACTGTTGAATCTGGTCGTAGCGTTTGGGGCCGTGTTTAAGCCATGCAATAGTCAGACTTGGATGACATAAGTTATTGGTTGATCTGAATCTTCAATATCTAAGTTGATGTATTATTCTAGTTTTGAGCATAAACATAGATTTTAGTGAGTATTTGTATATATGTCATATCATTTATTGGTGGTTTACAGAGTGATTTGACTTAAAATAGAATTGATTTGGGGAATAATTGCAAATAAGCGTGTAATTATTCTATCACATTGGATAACCTATCTTAATGTTATATTTTGGACGAATTTTAATTGTCACAGAAATTGAAAGCAATTATATTTGCGGGAAGATTTGAATGGATATTTCGGTTGGCGGGGAAATTTGAAAGAAAAGGAGGCGCCATTTTTTATTTGGTTTTCTCTCTCGAGCAGCCAAGAAAATCTTCATTATTAATTGCACCGCACAACATGCAATGACAAAACATGAAGAAAAGAGTTGGTTTCGAAGAGCTAGCCAAAGAATATTTCATTGATCTCCTGAGCTATTTCTTTCTTAGTTATTACATCGCACAACATGTAATGATGATAAGTGTAGTAAGAAATAGTTTCTGATGATCAATATCATTAAGGCTCAACACTAATTCCCCGCAGCTGTTTGTGCTTTCAAACTAGAGACGCCTTCGATACTTTCCATTGACTCTTACCGGTTATCTCACCCCTGTCTCTCTTACTTTTGAGTCTATTCAGATTCATTTTTGCAATCCCAACACTTATTGTATACCACTACTTCTTGATCCAGCAAAGGTGTCGGATGTGATTTTACTCGTAAAGGGCAAAGCTTTCCCGCCAAATCGCAAGTTTCATAATCTCATGGTGGACCATAGCTGGAGTCACCGCCGATAATCTACTTGCTGAGATGCTACGCAGCCTTTGGTCTGGCCAATCATAGTGCTGCTCCATCCACATCAGCAAGTGATTTCGGCATCAGATCTCCGCTTAGTCTACCATGAGAGTTCTGCAAGCCAGAAGCGCAATATCTATGCAGCCTAGCTGCAACGGTATAGTAGAATTACTCGAATGAGGCAAAGTCCTTCCGAAGTCTCGCATTTGATGAGAGACCTCGGAAGGACTTTGCCTTATAATACTCTTACTATGGCTCCCTAGTCCCCAAATGGCTAGGGATTGTGTAATTAATCGGATATGGCAAGCTGCTCTAAAGTTTCTTTCTCATCATATGGGAGACTTCAGCAGAACTTTGCCCTAAGGTAATGTTGTTGTGGTAGGTGGTTCACAAAGAGCGAGAGAACATGTATGTAATTCATTTATGCTGAAGATATCTGGATGTCTTTCAAAAGAATAATGAAATCTAGAATTCTTCAGCATAAATTGATGCAGATGTGGTTCTCTGGATCTTTACTGGCCAGAATGCATATAAAAAGTTTCAATATAGTTAAAATAAAAAGTTATTAATACATTTCTTATTAATTGTAGAAACTTTTTACTTATATGTTAACTGATATTTCATATCAGCATGGTATCATGTTTTCATAGCGGAGATCTATCTATTTTATTATTATTAAAATAAATAGATTTAAACAAAGCTTTTGAACGGAATCATCGCAAGAAATGAATACAACAGAATTTGATAAGTTAATTCTATGATTTAATCTGTTAATATTTTCAGTTTTACATGGAGAAATTGAAAATTGAATCACAAATTTTCCAAAAAAAATTCAAATTTAAAATTTTGGATGTAATAAATTAGAGATTTTTCATCATTTTCTCGATTTTGAAAAAAATTTGAAAACTAGCATTACTTCTGATTCAAGCACAACTTCAGGGGAGTGAATATGTGACAACGCCGAGCTTATTTGCCCATATTTTTATAAAAATTCCAAATTCACAATTCAAGCAACTTAACATATAGAACAGTCTTTGAATTTTGAATTCTCATATGAACAATGTTTTACATTTAATACATCGAGCTCAAAATGGCATAATCAAATTTTCAATTTCAATTTAGCAAAAGAATTACTTAGTGGGTTTGCATTATAATCACATAAATTACAGTGTGAATATGATTATCACTACGTAAATACTACAATTTTAGCATTAACTACATTATTTCAAATAAAAATTTGAACGCTATGAAGAATGACTCTAGTTTCAACGCTAATAAGCTTTATACCGTTTTACAATTGATCATCTTAATGATTCTGTATTAAAAATTTCAGTAAATAAGGGAAGATTTTGAAATTGTGACCGACAATTGTGTAATATGAACGCTTATTTTCGAAAGATATAATCTGTTTAATCATTAGTGAGAAAGGGATTCAAATTGAAAATATGGTTCAGGAATTAAAATATAATATTTTAATTAATAAAAAAAAATTATAATAAAAAAAATGATATTGAATTACAAGGTGATTGTGGGATACATCTCGACAGAGGCAACATTCGATATGAAAGTTTCCTCTGTCGAGAAACTTCCTCACACCTCAAGAGATGCGAGGAACTTTTGACAGGCAAAGTGCAATATTGATAGGTCATTTCATTTCATTATTATATAAGCATCATAGTTAACAACTAGTACATTTTATTATATCCTCATGATTTTTCTTTTGAGATTTTGAATTAAAAATTAAGTTTTGATAAGGTCATTGTGGGTTTCAAAGAGAACAATGAATGATGATTAATTTCAAAAGCAATAATAAGTCATTGAAAAATTAAGAGTAAAAAATGGAACAAAAACATCTGCGTCTATTAAATGCTATTGTTAGATCTTCCTCTCACTACAGACTTAAATCTTCCTCTCACTACAGACTTAGATCTTCCGATCTCAAGACTTAAATCTTCCTCTCACTACAGACTTAAATCTTCCGATCTCAAGACTTAAATCTTCCTCTCACTACAGACTTAAATCTTCCTCTCACTACAGACTTAGATCTTCCGATCTCAAGACTTAAATCTTCCTCTCACTACAGACTTAAATCTTCCTCTCACTACAGACTTAGATCTTCCTCTCACTACAGACTTAAATCTTCCTCTCACTACAGACTTAGATCTTCCTCTCACTACAGACTTAAATCTTCCTCTCACTACAGACTTAAATCTCCTCTCCCTCCAAGTAGCTCCCTCTCTCCAAGGAGCCGATCCCTCCAACGAGCTACGTCCCTCCAAGTAGCTCCCTCCCTGCAAGGAGCCTCTCCCTCCAAGGAGAACCTCCCTCACTCCAAGGAGAACCTCCCTCACTCCAAGGAACTCCCTCCCTCCAAGGAGCTCCCCCCTCCAAGTAGCTTCTCCCTCCCTCCAAGAGAACCTCCCTCCCTCCAAGTAGCTCCCCCCTCCAAGGAGCCTCTCCCTCCCTCCAAGGAGAACCTCCCTCCCTCCAAGTAGCTCCCCCCTCCAAGGAGCCTCTCCCTCCCTCCAAGGAGAACCTCCCTCCCTCCAAGTAGCTCCCCCCTCCAAGTAGCTTCTCCCTCACTCCAAGGAGAACCTCCCTCCCTCCAAGTAGCTCCCCCCTCCAAGGAGCCTCTCCCTCCCTCCAAGGAGAACCTCCCTCCCTCCAAGTAGCTTCTCCCTCACTCCAAGGAGAACCTCCCTCCCTCCAAGGAGCTCCCTCCCTCCAAGTAGCTCCCTCACTCCAAGTAGCTCTTCCCTCCAAGGAGAACCTCCCTCCAAGGAGAACCTCCCTCCAAGTAGCTCCCTCCCTCCAAGGAGAACCTCCCTCCAAGGAGCCTCTCCCTCCCTCCAAGGAGCTCTTCCCTCCAAGGAGCACCTCCATCCATGGAGCTCCCTCCCTCAAAAGAGCTCCCTCCCTCCAAGGAGCCTCTCCCTCCCACCAAGGAGAATCTCCCTCCCTCCAATGAGCTCCCTCCCTCACTCAAGGAGCCTCTCTATCCAAGGAGCCTCTCCCTCCCTCCAAGTAGCTCCCCCCTCCAAGGAGCCTCTCCCTCCCTCCAAGAGAACCTCCCTCCCTCCAAGTAGCTCCCCCCTCCAAGGAGCCTCTCCCTCCCTCCAAGGAGAACCTCCCTCCCTCCAAGTAGCTCCCCCCTCCAAGTAGCTTCTCCCTCACTCCAAGGAGAACCTCCCTCCCTCCAAGTAGCTCCCCCCTCCAAGGAGCCTCTCCCTCCCTCCAAGGAGAACCTCCCTCCCTCCAAGTAGCTCCCTCACTCCAAGTAGCTCTTCCCTCCAAGGAGAACCTCCCTCCAAGGAGCCTCTCCCTCCAAGTAGCTCCCTCCCTCCAAGGAGAACCTCCCTCCAAGGAGCCTCTCCCTCCCTCCAAGGAGCTCTTCCCTCCAAGGAGCACCTCCATCCATGGAGCTCCCTCCCTCAAAAGAGCTCCCTCCCTCCAAGGAGCCTCTCCCTCCCACCAAGGAGAATCTCCCTCCCTCCAATGAGCTCCCTCCCTCACTCAAGGAGCCTCTCTATCCAAGGAGCCTCTCCCTCCCTCCAAGTAGCTTCTCCCTCCCTCCAAGGAGAACCTCCCTCCCTCCAAGGAGCACCTCCATCCATGGAGCTCCCTCCCTCAAAAGAGCTCCCCCCTCCAAGTAGCTCCCCCCTCCAAGGAGAACCTCCCTCCCTCCAAGGAGCACCTCCCTCACTCAAGGAGCCTCTCTATCCAAGGAGCTCCCTCCCTCCAAGTAGCTCCCTTACTCCAAGGAGCTCTTCCCTCCAAGGAGAACCTCCCTCCAAGGAGCCTCTCCCTCAAAAGAGCTCCCTCCCTCCAAGTAGCTCCCTTACTCCAAGGAGCCTCTCCCTCCAAGTAGCTCTTCCCTCCAAGGAGCTCCCTCCCTCAAAAGAGCTCCCTCCCTCCAAGGAGCCTCTCCCTCCAAGTAGCTCTTCCCTCCAAGGAGAACCTCCCTCCAAGGAGCCTCTCCCTCCAAGTAGCTCCCTCACTCAAGGAGCCTCTCTATCCAAGGAGCTCCCTCCCTCCAAGTAGCTCCCTCACTCAAGGAGCCTCTCTATCCAAGGAGCTCCCTCCCTCCAAGTAGCTCCCTCACTCAAGGAGCCTCTCTATCCAAGGAGCTCCCTCCCTCCAAGTAGCTCCCTTACTCCAAGGAGCTCTTCCCTCCAAGGAGAACCTCCCTCCAAGGAGCCTCTCCCTCCAAGTAGCTCTTCCCTCCAAGGAGCTCCCTCCCTCAAAAGAGCTCCCTCCCTCCAAGGAGCCTCTCCCTCCCACCAAGGAGAATCTCCCTCCCTCCAATGAGCTCCCTCCCTCCAAGGAGCCTCTCCCTCCCTCCAAGGAGCCCCTCCATCCAAGGTAACTCTCCCTCCAAGGAGCTCCCTTCTCTCAATTGGGCTCTTTTCCTCAATGGATATCCTTCCCTCAATGAAGCTCCTTCCCTCAATGGGCTACTTCCCTCAATTGAGCTCTTTCCCTCTTTATATAAGAAGAGTTGTTTAGTAGATAATTAAAATAAAATAATTACTATTTACACCAATCATTTATCGAGTATTCTGATTTAATAAAATTTCTTGAAATCATTAACAATTTTCACAAATTTTTTGTCCTTTGATTTTTCGAACAAAAAATTTATAAATTTTTGGGCGTCATAAATATCACCTGCTTCTTTATTAATATAAAATTCAAGGAACAATGATGCCTTCTCAAGCGAGCCGAGTCCAAGCAGCTTTGATGTGAAATAAAGCTTCATATTTTCATTAAGAAGGCCTTCTGGAGTGAATTCTTGTTCTACTGATTGAGTGAGGAATTTGTCAACCTTCTTAGGAATTGCAGCTTTTGATCTCATTGATTTGTTGCCAATTTTTGGAATCTCGGCATCTGAATTGCTTAAGAACTCGATTTTATACGAAGAGATTCTTGGAATATTTGCTAATTCAGGCCATCTTATATTCTTTAATTGGCGAATAGCCAGCTCATACTGGTTTGGAATGTTTATTCCATACTTTGGGAGTGTTGAAGGAATGTTTTTTGAAAAATTGTCTAACCTCGTAATGACTGAATCAATAGTATTGTCATCATTGAGATTTAGTCTTTCAAAAGTCACGATTCTTTTTGCATCTTTTTTCATCTTATTATAATATACTGTTGCATTTTGCTTGTCGGGATAATTGCTTTTATTTATACGCTCAATCAAATATTCAGTAATGCAAGTGAGTTTTTCCAAAAAAGAAATCGCACATCTTTGATGTATTTTTTGCTGCAGTTGTTTGTGCAAAGATTCAATATGGTTACTAGATGAGATGCGTGGGTTTCTCAAATACAGTGCTAATGACTGTTTTTCATTTTGGATTTTACTCCATTTTTTGAATTCTTTTGGAGTAATTTGGGAAGTTTGATGCCAATAATTTATAACAGGGGCATATAAATTATATGCACCATCAAACAAATCTTTAGTCTGGGCTGTTAAAATGTCACAGACAATAGCAGCTAATACACCATTAGCTCCAAAATTCTCCATAAAATGGCGTAGACAGTGAAGCTTTTTGAGTCCGAAACTTTCACAAAAAGATTTAATTGCAGATCCTTGATCCGCTAAGATCGGATGCTTTTGGAGCTCTTCTCTTGTGATATCTGTATCATTAATAATCACTTGGAAAAATTCACTATAAGCTTCTTTATTTTCGTGTGGAGTAATCATTAATCCCAACGGAAAACCTATATTATATATTATTGCCAATGGGACCATTATAATATAGGGTTCAAAGAAAAAAGAGGCATCAATTTCAATGTAACTTGACTTTTTAATAAAGTCTGGGGTAGTAGGTGGTATCCATATTAGCCACTCAATGGTTTCTTTATTGTATTTCATGTACTTTTTTTTGTCGTTAGGTGAAAATGGATGAAAGTATTTGATTCCTGGGAGCTTGTCAAATAAAGATTTGATGTCACTTTTTTGACTTGTAGGTTTAAATTTAATAAATTGTGAAAAAACCTCATCAGAAATATTTCCCCATTTATAAAATTTTTTAAATTTTTTAAGAAAACATTTGTCCAAAGGTCTTCAGTACAATATTTGAGCTGGCAAATTGAAATTGAATTGTTTTCTGTGGTTTTTATCCATGTTGGAGTTTCGTTCATAATGATCTTAAATTGTTTATAATCACTGGAATAAACTGAAAATAACATCTTCGGTTGAATTGTTTTATCGCAATTTTCTATATCATATTTTATATGTACTTGATATAATTCATTACTTTTTCTAAAATATGGTTTAAGACCTGCTGGAAGTTTTTCACAAAATTCTTGATAATTTGTCAAACTAAAATATTCATTTTCTCTAATTTTTAAAGTAGATCCATTACATTCCTCACTTCCAAGGAAAACTTGGCAATTATCGATGATAAAAGGATATATAATTTGTTCATTCACGTAATTTGGAGAAAAGAACTTTTTTGAATCAAGTTGCAAGATGTTTTGCATGATTGGATCTTCAGCATCCTTTGATAATATTTCTCTTTTTATTTGATTATATTCTTTCTTGTCGATTAACTTTTTGATGTTATTTGGGTGAGAATAATATTCTGTCCAAAATTTGTTATGATTTTTCAACGAACAAAATAAAATATTCGGTTCATTGAAATAATAATATGAACCTATTATTTGAAAAGATATTATGTCATAGTTTCTAATTGCCATTTCTATATGATCATCAATCATAATTGAATCAGGCAATTTTCTATAATTATAAATATCTCCAAAATGATATGGAATGAAAAAATTCTTTTGATTTAAAATCTGTTCTTTAGTATATGAAATATCATTTTGTACTGCCAAATCATGCATGTCCTTGTTTGATGAGCAATAAAGAAGAATTTTGGCTTTATCAGTTAAAATCTTAAGTTCGATACATTTTTGGACAATATTGATCGAGTTGAACAAGACCGAAAACGTACCTATATCAATTCCATAATTTGCATTGCTTGTATTGAATAAATTTTGATCTTTGTTAAATAAATTAAGGAATTCTTCAGAGTCATCAGTTTTAAGAACCTCAAGACATTCCTCATTTAAGGAGGTAAAGAGGTTAATAAATTTTGAATAAATTTTTGGTCCCTCGCTGAACTTAAAACATTTGGTAAGATTTAATGCATAATTATTGAATTTAGTAGACTCCTTTATTTTTGGATCAATGGTATCATAAATTTCTTTCATTTTCTGAACCACATTAGGAAGATGATTCAAATTCCAAAAAGCATAATTTCCAAAAAAGTTAAACAAAAGCTCAAGATCGATTGTTTTGAGCTCCCTGTCAGGAAAACTAGATCTTTTATTTTCAAAGCATTGGATTGTCTGATAAATTACATTTGATTGTTCAAAAAAAAGCTCCTTGAGGACCATTAATTAATTGATTGTCAAGATTTAAATCTGTAGGATTAATAAATTGTTCGGGAACATAAGAAAGTGGTCTCATTGTAAGTATCAATCAAAAGATAAATAAAAAAGTGACAGTAACAGAAACTTATACTCACCGTCCTTCTAAAAATTCTCAGGCTATAAATCTCATTCGTCAAAGATGTGTATAACTATATAGTCAGAGGTGATGAAACCACAAATTTTTTTACTTAATATTTGAATTCGTTTTCTTTAGTAAAGTCTCTTTTCAAATTTTTTAAAAGGTGTATACCCAATATTGAGGGAAGGAGTATGACAAGGAGACTTTAAGAAGGAAATTGAGTTTAATATTACCCTGTATTTCCAACAATTGAAAATTTTTCATGACCCTACCCATTGTTCTAAGATAGCTTTTTTTTCCACCACAGACATACAGTTAAGATATTCAAAAACTAATATCATCACAATGTTACCTCATGCCTTGACAGTATGCTACACGAATTTGGAACAAATCTGTGAGGGTCGATCATGATTATATAACATATTTAGAATTTCATCATCTCATCATCAGAGCAATATCTCTCTGTCAAAACTTACCATTTATATATGTGTACATGTTACTTTATATTCATGATACAAAAATAGATAAAGCTTTTTTCACCTAAATCTGATAACAATGCAAATAAGACTCATTGCTGAAATACTGATATTTTCTTATTTGATTTGTGTAGAAGCTTTCTTGATAGATTTTATAGAATATTACCAAAATGAGATATAATCTTTAATAAAAGTTTTATTTTTGAATTTCCCATGCAATCATCATGTGTTTAGTACCAATATAAATATTTTAATCTCTAATCGAGTGGGTTACAAAAGTGTGTTTTGTAAAGTGTGTAAAGCGTCAGATTTTAGAATTTTTGACATTGTAAAGTCGGCTTTAGTGAGGGTTATTTCACCAAAACATATTCACAAAATTACTGAGAAATAAGATGTAATATAGACTCAATCCGGCTCTGGAAGATATTTTGAACTCTACATTAGAATAGTGGAGTTCAAAATATTTAACAGAGCTGGATTGAGTGCATATTAAATTTATTAAAGCCTGTTCCCAAAAGAACAGGCTTTAGTAAATATGATTGAGGATTTCCAGAGCTCCATTTCATGATGAATAGGAGCTCTGGAGCTCCTTGAGTTGGCAAGGATTCGGGCTGATCTTAAATCAGTAGAGACCCAAATGGTAAAGGGCCTCTGCTGATAAGGATTCAGGAGCTCCCTTTCGTATGGATTAGGAGCTTCGGAGCTCCTGGAAAGCAGAAGGTTGCTTTGATCTTAAATCAGCAGAGGCCCAAATGGTAAAGGGTTAATCTTTAATAATATACCTGATTCATTTAAGTCCCTAGCTCCACATTTGAATCCCATTATTCTTCCTCGCTTAAATATTGGCTTTTCCTCAAATTTTCAAATCAAATTCAATTTCTCAAAATGACGTAGAAAGTATCCTTCCTGCGTTCGCCAAACACATTCTTACATCCAGTGCTCTCTTTATACTCTTCAGAGAACTGAAAATTGCTCATGGTCATACGAAATTTCGATTCAAAATTATTCTCATATCAAAATCTCCTGTTGTTATTTTATTTTGTATTGTCTATGAATAAACATATCTTTTATTATGTTTTTAAAAAACTTCTTTGCAACTCACTGAAAAAGTTGAGGTATATTTTTATTAAAATCAAATTTTGAATTGATGGGAATTAGCGTATACTTAATAGGATTCGAAAGAAAATGCTTTTAAGTATGTTTGATAGGTTAGGAGAAGGTAAATTAAAAATTAATGTGGAATCAAAAAGAAAAATCAAAAATTTAAGCGCAAAAGTGTGTTATGCACTCTTGTCTGTCTGCATATGTCATTCTGGGAGACATGTATATATGTCTAGTTCATGAGTAGATAGTATTGGGTTCTTTTGTTTCTGTTGAGTCAAAAGAGTGGGTAGATTTTTTTCTCGAAAATTTCTAGTGAATGTGACTATATAGAATGGTTAGATATGTATGTATGTCTAGTACATGAGTAGAGACTATTGGTTTCTTTTGTTCCTTTTCTTTATAAAAAAATTAATCAAAGGAGGGATGGAACTCAATGGAGAGATTGAGTTCCAAAGAGTGATGGATCTCAAAAGACTATGTAGAGAGTAAGACTGAGTAGAGAGTAACTAGCATTATAGACTCAGACTGAATCAACTATTTGAAACCATATGATTATGAGCTTATGTATCAGTTAATCATAATGATTTCAGCTATATTTTCTGACAACCCAAAAAATCTTTATCTAATTTTGATGGATTTGCTTCATAAATATGCATTAATAGCTTATGACTGTTAGATCTAATAACTTAGATTCTCGAAATTCCTGTAAAAAGTCAAATAGTCTAGAGATAAGACAACCTAACTGACTATATATTGCAATAAAAAGTAACAATTCTGAAATTATGGGACTTTTATATTTCCCCAAGGAAATGTCCTTGATACAGTCAAAAATCCAAACATGTCTGATAACGACATGCGACAGTAATTTAATTATCATGATATAATTAGATGATTGTTTAAAAATTAATTAAAAATTAAATGTTTAATTCTGGGGTTTATGTAAGATGTCAATTCCATACCATTGTGTATAACAATACTTCATTTTTCCTTTACAGCATAACAATGATTAATGCATGCTTCATATTCTTCCATCAAAAGTTCGATTTCGTTTTCATTTGTAAACATTAATGAATTTTCTGCCTCTGAAATAAATTCCTTCTGGATCCTTTCATCGATATTTAATAATTCATCATTAAATTCTGATGATGAAATCCGAAAATCCTGGACTAACTCATCATAAATATTATATAATTCTTCATCATACTCTTCTAATACTTTCAAATAGACATCCATATTAATAATATCTTGATTTTTGAGATATTGACGTAGAACAAAAACTATTAAGGTTATTCCAACCTTAAACATAATTTTGGGGCAATGTTCGATTGTTGTAATGATCATTTCTGGAATTTCTTCATAAGTAAAGAAGACCATGATTTTTGAATCAAGCTCATAATTGTCTAATATTAGGATCCTGTATAGTAAATAAATACAACACTTTGAATTTGTCCATTTTAATTCTTTTGTAATGAATTTTTTGATTATTTTTATAATAATGTAAATTGAATACTCAAATATATCTGAAGTTGAATTGATAAAGAAAGAAAGTGCAAATTCAAAATCAATGCTGTTATAATTACATAAATTGTAAATAGCTGAAGAAAAATCATTAGAATCTATGGAATTTAATAATATATCTGGCGAGAACTTAAT